GGCCTGGCCGCTGCCACGGGTACCAGCAGCTGGTGGCAGAAAGGGTGACGCCGTGTACACGCAACAGACTGCAAATTCCAAACTGTCGTCGTGACCCCTGCTGCTGGTGAACTGGGTGATAAAATTCGCATTTTTAGTACTTGCCGAATCGTGTTCATCACCCACTGCTGTGCAACAAAGTGTGGAAAACAGAGCAAGATGCTAAACATCAAATTATGTATCAGTTATGCATAATGGTTGCAGCTGTACACAGATTGGTATTTTGCTTTGACTTGGTCATATCCATACGCAATTATAGCAATTGCTGTGCATAGTATGAAATGACTCCAGAAATCTCACTGGTAATACTTTACTCTTTCCGGGTAATAAAGGTGAGATACTCCAGATAACGTGAGTGTTAAGAAAGGAGCTGGCAGGGAAGGAGGACAGACAGTAGTAAGTTACCAGGATGTGTGAGCACCACACTGAAAACGAGAATGAAAAAGGTATTCAACACACTAAAAGACCGAGCTGGCATGAATGGTTTTGTCATTGACAACAGCTACTTTGGAGTGGAGTTCTTAGGAAACATTTTCATCAGCTTACCTTTTGAGACTCCCGTTAAGGAGGACCTGGACAGGCTGGAGAGCTGGGCAGAGAGGAACCTGATGAAATTCAACAAGGGCAAGTGCAGGGTCCTGCACCTGGGGAGGAACAACCCTATGCACCAGTACAGGCTTGGGGCGGACTTGCTGCAGAGCAGCTCTGTGGAGAGGGACCTGGGTGTCCTGGTGGATGACAGGTTGACCATGAGCCAGCAGTGTGCCCTGGCTGCCAAGAAGGGCAGTGGGACCTGGGGTGCATGAGGAGGAGTGTGGCCAGCAGGACGAGGGAGGTTCTCCTCCCCCTCTACTCAGCCCTAGTGAGGCCTCATCTGGAGTGCTGTGTCCAGTTCTGGGCTCTCCAGTTCAAGAGAGGTGAGGAACTACTGGAGAGAGTCCAGCGGAGCATCTGTCCTACAAGGAGAGGCTGAGGGAGCTGGGCTTGTTCAGCCTGGAGAAGGCTGCGAGGCGACCTTATAAATGCTTATAAATATCTGAAGGGTGGGTGTCAGGAGGATGGGGCCAAGCTCTTTTCAGTGGTGCCCAGCGACAGGACAAGGGGCAATGGGCACAAACTGAAGCATAGGAAGTTCCATCTGAAGATGAGGAAGAACTTCTTCCCTCTGAGGGTGACGGAGCCCTGGAACAGGCTGCC